AGGATTCTTTGCCAACATGTAAAGTAGCTGCAAAAAATTGCCACGGTAACAGAAGAGTGGAACATTCTATCATCATGGCAACAGTGATTCCATTGGAATCATTACGTCATCAAAGCTAGGGTCTGCTGTGTTTGTGTGTCTGTCCGTGATTCTTGAATATAGTCAAACAAAAAACGGAGTAAACGAAGTAAACGGAGTAAACTGAGCAAAATGGCGTGTTTTCGAAGGCAATCAAAGAAGGCCAAGCTGATTGAAAAGCTTGAAGACGACGTGATGGTGTTGCAGGACAAACACAAGAGTCTTTTGGAGGACCTGCAGAGGGAGAAAATGCAGAGGGGCGAGATGGAGAAGACTCAACTGGAGGAAAGTCGCCAACAGCAGGAGCAGGTGATCCAGCTCCAGACAGAGAGGTCTGCCTTGGAGACTGCTCTGCTGCAGGCGGAAAAGAGATCTACCTCTACTCAAGACAAACTGGATTCTACCATTCAGGAGAAGACAGCCCTCCAAGAGGAACTGCAGAAGGCCCATAAGGACATTGAGGCCTTGGACATTGCGATGAAGACGTCTGCTAAAAAGACAGACGCAGTGATTGGAGATCTGCAGAATGAGCGTCGTCAACAACAGGAGCAAGTGAGCCAGCTCCAGACGGAGAAATCTGCCTTGGAGACTGCCCTAATGCAGTCAGAGAAGAACTCTACTTCTATCCAAGACAGACTGAATTCCACCATCCAGGAGAAGACTGTACTCCAAGAGGAACTGCAGAAGGCCCATGAGGACATTAAGGCCTTGGAAACTGCGAGTGAGATGTCTGCTAAAAAGACAGACACAGTAATTAGAGACCTGCAGAATGAGCTTGCAGAGGTCAAATCTGAGAACAATGACACGATTGAGCTCCTGACCTTTCGTTTACAAGAAGGCAACAGTTTCATCGAGGAGCTCAAGACCCAGATGCAGGACAGAGAGATGGCAAATACTCGTTTGGAGGAAAATCTGGCAAACAGCCAGAAAGAGTTGGAGGAATTTAGGAAAAATGTCATGATGAAAAACTCTGCAATTTCACAGATGGAGGCAGAAAATGGGAAACTCACAGCTCTCTGTGGAAGGTTCAAGGCAAAAATACTGGACATGGAACAGCATTTGAAAAACGTACAAGCTGTGTCTGAAAAAACACTTCTTGTGGCCCGGGAAAAACACACGAATGAGGTGGAGGATGCCAAGAGGACCTTTGAACACAGCATTCAAGAGCTGAGGGACCAGATAAAGCTGAACGACAACATGATCAGTACTCTAACTGAAACTAACGAGAAGGCAAAGGAGCAACTGGCCAATAACAAGAAAGAGTTGGAGAAGGGAAGGGCGAGTTTCTGCATGAAAAACTCTATTATTGCCGAGATGAAGGGAGAGAACACAAAACTCCAAGCAGAGAATCGACAGGTCCAGAGGAAGTGCGAAATCTGCGTTCAGGAGGCAAAAGAAGACGCCAACAAGACAATAACAGAGTTGAAGGCCAGAATATTGTGTCTGGAAAAGGATCAGGAAAAGATGTCGCCGGCCGCTCTGCCTATGAGCTGCCCCTCGGGCAGGAAGGAGAACCCTACTGAGAGAACCGCTGATGTTCTGGTAATTGGCAGCTCTATTGTTAGAGATGCCGAGATCACAGGGGCCACTGTTCTGTGCTACCCTGGGGCCAGGATGGGTGACATTGAGGGGAATTTGAGGGTCCTGAACCAAAACAAGCAGCGTTTTCGTCTAGTCGTCGTTCACGCGGGTGGCAATGACGTTAGGCGGAAACAAACAACAGCAGAGATGTTGAAGGTGCAGGTTGCCGCCGTTTGTAATCTGGCGAGCACAATGGCGGACACGGTTATCTTTTCGGGACCCCTTCCTAGCACCGGCAGTGAAGAAGCATACAGCAGCATGCTATCTTTCCATCGCTGGCTGTCTGGTTGGTGCCCTCAACGTGGCGTTGTCTTTGTTGACAACTGGAGCACCTTCTTGGGAAAGCCCGGTCTCATGCGCCCAGATGATGTCCACCCAACAATGAAGGGTACATCTCTTTTGATTAAGAATATGGCTCTGATTGTAAATTTTCTGAACGGCTCACATGACAGTCTGGAGCAGAGGCCTGAGTACAGAGCTGGTCCGTCACAACCTCTAACTTCCCAGCAGAGAAAAAGACAGAACCTCCGAGTGCAGCGCTGGTAAGAACACAACAACGTGTTGTGTTTAGGCCAAACCAGCCACCACAAGTCACAATCAACAAAACTGGTCAAAAACCAAAGAAGACACAATACCCCAACAAGACAACTTTTTCACAATGCATTGTGTTCCCTTGCCTGAGAGATCCCAAATCAGTGAAAGGATTTGTAAGTACTCTTTCTATACACCTTTTTTTTTGTTTACATGCATAAATAATTTTCAATCCTTTTTTTTGTTCTTCAGGAGCACTTGTATTGACCCTGTGGGTGGCTCTGGTTACTAATAAAAACACGTCAGCAAAACACAGTTCCAGTGACGAGGCCAACCTCAAACTTTCATCAGGACATTAATCCGAAAAGAAAGCGTGAACTGCAACTTAAAAACCAGCTTTGGAGATGACTGCAAAGAAGCAAAAGAGGACCAGAGAGTAACATCTCCGCCAAACATCATCACAAAGTGTTGGTTAATCTAGAAGACAAGATGAATTATATTATGACTGAGGTGGAAATAATAAAGCAAAAAGTTATGTATACTTACTAAGCCTGATGTGTCAAGAAATCTTGGAAAAACATCCAAAACAGAGACAGAGCTGTGTTGGACATGTAGAGATCGGACATGTAGAGATTGGTCATGTAGAGATCGGACATGTAGAGATTGGTCATGTAGAGATCGGACATGTAGAGATTGGTCATGTAGAGATCGGACATGTAGAGATTGGCGATTGAAAAGTATCCTTTATGATCGATCGTTTCACTTGTTGAGAGAGTCTATATTTCTTTTTGCGGTTTTATAGGGCCAGCGGAAACGCGAGGAGAGTAGAGATGAGTAGAGCAGAGCAGAGACGAGTAGAGTAGAGATGACTAAACCAGGACTAAAACTAAGACTAAACCAGGACTAAACTAAGACGAAACCAGGACTGAACTAAGACTAAACCAGGACTAAACTAAGACTAAACCAGGACTAAACTAATACTAAACTAGGACTAAACTAAGACTAAACCAGGTCTAAACCAGGACTAAACCAGGACTAAACCAGGACTAAACCAGGACTAAATTATTGTATATTCTAAGCCAAGAACCGACATTGGAAATGAGCTGTTTAGCTGTATGTGAAGCTAAGCAGGACAGGGCCTGGTCAGTGTTGTGATGGGAGGAACACAGTGGGGCGGCTGCAGCTGTAAAGTGCTGAAATGTTGCTGTGTCCTTAGGCAAGACACTTCACCCACATAAGAATAAGCCCGGTGTGTGAGTGATGGGCGATGGCACAGACTGGTTGCTTGGCCTCTCCTCAGTGTTTTGTTTTCTTGCGTCCTCTGAGCGTCTCTGGAGGGTCTTGTGAACTCTTGAACTAAGTACACGAAGGACGCTGACTCTTGTTGACGAGGGAAAGCCCGCAAACACAGGTGTGGCTCCGTTAGTCCGGCTCCGTTAGTCCGGCTCAATGTAACCAGTGTTCCAGGCTTTAAGAATTACGGTTATTTCCCGTAATCTGTACTTTTGGAAAAAATCTTAACCAGAAAAGCAGACCAATGCTCTTTTAAAATAGAATCAACCCAATATGATTAATTTGTTTTCATTCATCGGTAATTAAAGTTGTTGATTCTCCGTTCTGTTGTTGGTGAATTGGCAACTCTCCCTCTTTCTCTGAGACGACTGCTGTTAATGTAGGGCTGCACAAAGATGAATTGAATAAAATAGCAAGTCCATGTAATATCTCACAGTAAAGCTGGGACACCTAACTTTTTCAAAACACAGAAACGAGACCAGATTTTTCAGACAGAAAACATAAAAGAAAGGACCACCCCCTCCCTCAGCCAATCAGCTCTCAGCCCAGACCCTCAAAAAGTGACTCCCAGGGCAATTTCTTACAAGTATACAAAATATACTTTCTAATAAGATGACAGCAGCTACTTTATTTTATTTCATCTTGAATTCAGACACAAAGGGTCCATGTAACAAGTTGTGGTCTAGTATTTTTAGGTTAAATCTCTTTTTTGAAAGGAGATCTATAGTTTTTATTTATTTAAGATATTTAAGATGGCTGCACCAGATTTATCATATTTCTAATAACACATTGTATGTATTTTTATTGTACCTTACATTTCCAGGATTCCTCAAAGTGCTATAGACAAGCGTGATATCCGGTTTAAAAAAAAAGTCTATTCTTGTTTTTAGCAGAGAGAGAGAGAGAGAGAGACAGAGAGAGAGAGAGACAGAAAGACAGAGAGAGAGAGAGAGAGAGAGACAGAGACAGAGACAGAGACAGAGAGAGAAAGAGACAGAGAGAAAGAGAGAGAGAGAGAGAGACAGAGACAGAAAGAGAGAGAGACAGAGAGAAAGAGAGAGAGTAGAGAGGGAGAGAGAGAGAGAGAGGGACAAAGAGACAGAGACAGAGAGACAGAGAGACAAAGAGACAAAGAGACAAAGAGACAAAGAGACAGAGAGACAGAGAGACAGAGAGAGAGAGAGACAGAGAGACAGAGAGAGAGAGAGAGAGAGAGAGAGAGACAGGGGCCGACCCAGAAGGAGAGTCCAACCCTGCTTCTCATAAGACCCAAGCGACGTCCTCCAGCCCTCACACTCACAGAGAGCAGAGTGAAGAAGACATCTCTCATCTCTACAGAAAAAAAAAAAAAAACTGCTTTGCATCAGATTGATCAGAACTGGGAAATCAGCAAAGAAAGTCACAGATTTATGACCAGGATGAGGTTGCCAGCGCTGTGCATTCTCACTTTGATGTATTTCCTAGCAGTGGACGCTCGCATTTTTACCAGGAATGAATTACAAAACACCTACAAGAAGATGCCCGTGAGGAGGACGGTGCAAAACCAAGGTACGGTAAGAAAAAAGAAAAAACAGATATATTTGGCTCGAGGGAGATTTGGGAAGTTCCGGCTGGGAAGACTGTGTACAAACAGAGCTCAGAGGAAACATGTGGATTGGAAACATTTTGTGAATTTAACCCGAAAACGTCAAAAGTACGAGCAGCAGTGTTACCGGAGAAACGTTTTTTTCTTAGCAAAGATACACGTTTACATGGTGAAAATAAGTTAGAAAAAGAAAAACTGATCAGATTCTTAAATTCTTATGGTTGAAAACTTAAAAACGCTAAATTATACCATATATTAAGTACAAGGGTAAAGTCCCCCCCCCCCTCCCCTATTCTTACACTGTAGGCATAATACATAATGATAATAAAATGTTTGTTTTTCAGGCTAAAAGTAAAGAAAAAATATGGAAAAAAAGGTTGTGAGGTCAAAAGTTGCCTCAGAATAATATTTTTTGTTCATATGTGGGAAGTTGAGGCTCATTTAAAACTGTAAATAATCACAATATTCATAATAATAACATATAATGTGTAAATCTCCTTTGGCATGACATCCACAATTTCTTGAGTTTTGGGGTTTTTCAAAACGGGGGCACACTAGTTTCACATTAGTTCAGGAATTTGTTTTTTTCACACTCTCAAACTTTTAACCCATGTTTATAATAACAAGAGGATTTTTTTATATACGTTTTTCTTTGTAATTTAATGAACTTTTGGATTTCCCATAAAATCAGATATTTTTACAGTATGCATTCAAAGAGCGAAAGAGATATTTCAATTTTTATGTATTTATTTATATAATCGATATGGACATGGCACAATACAGACAAATGTATATTTTCTGGATCATACAAAGCTTATTTTCACCTGTCGTCCAGAGGTGATGAGAGTAATTTCAGGCTGCTGTTTACAACTTTGATGGCGCAGGTACTTACTTTCTTAAAGCTGGGGTACCTAACTTTCATACCACAAACAATGAAATAATTCCATCTCACATCAGCTTTTTCAAACAGAAAAGTGAAATGGAAAGGAACGACCTCACTCAACCAATCAGCCGTGGGCAAGTTTGCAAGAGATACTTAAGATCATTTAAGTTAGGAACCCCAGCTTTAATGAGAGATAACTCAACAGAGAAAATGCATGATTTTAGTTCTGCTTGTTTGGACCAAAAACCCGTACATTCTCACTGGTCCAGTCGCATGTAAAAGTCGGTAACGTGATCCGATCCGTTTGACAAGTGTGAGGTAAAGTCACTGCTGCGGTGTTTTTGACTTCTCCCTAAATAGATGTGCGACGGCTGCAGTTCTTTTCTCGGGCACTAGGAGGCGCTTCAACAGGTGTCCTCATATCGAATACTCATATTTTGTTGACTTTTTGAAGCGACTGTTATTATATATTTATAAACAATTGCTGTAGCTGCCATTTATACAGTAGCTATTCATGCATGTAAAGTAGGTTCTGCTTTTTTCGAGACGCCGTTGCTCCAGTGATCCACAATTTTTGGATTTACTTAAAGCTGAGGTACCTAACTTTAGTAGTAGTAGTAGTAGTAGTAGTAGTTTATTTTATTTTGGCCAATATGTACAAGATCGTTTATACATTTTACAATAGGAAAAAAAGAAAGAACAAAATGTATCTATTGATAATTTTAGTGCAAAATTATGCCTGACCAAAAAGGGTTTAGGCTGAAGCCGAGACTTATACTGATGAAGCCCGTTTACAATGTGACAATACAACCAAATATGACACGTTAAGCAGTTTCTCTTATACCAACCAATGGTAAAATGTTGCACAAAACTTAAATGTAGACAAATCGAAATTATGTTATACACTTTCAAACCACAAATGATAGAACCACTGTCTATACAACAGGTTTAGCTCTCAAAACCTTCACACGTTTTCGGCTCCTGTCACGTCTTTAGATCAGCGTTTTCAGCCTCGCAAAGCTCTGTTCCCAAAGCATCAAATAGTGACTCTCAGGGCCTGTTCTTACAACTAATCACAAGATAACATGTTTTCTAGTGAGATGAAGACAGCATGTTGTGGTCTGATTTGGTCTCAACATTTTACTCCTTTGGACAAAAAGAATGTATTATTTATGCAGGTAAAAAGTAAGACCCCCAAGCTTTAAATAAGACCTATAATAATATACATGTTCTCCAACACTCGGCGCTGTTTTGATCGTAATTCATAAATGTTTGAGTAATACAGTAGGTTTACTATCGAAGGCAAGATGATAATGTTCTCCCCGAGGCTCCTCTGACCTTTTACAGTTACAGTTGTTTTAGCTGGTTTTCTTTCCTTCTGATAAACTCTGCATTGTTCAGACATTTTGGCTCGAGTGGAACACACGCTTGCTTGGAGTGAGGGAGGTGACACTTGGTGATGTCTTACAAAAAGGAAAAAGGACAAATCCATACAGTGGGACTGAATACAGGAGTGCCTGCTCTCATTTATTGAATAGTTTAAGAGAAATGTTGAGGTTTTCCATGTTCAAAATATGTTCTGTTGATCCACAGCTTTCCCTGCGTTGAGTCTTTGTTAAAAACTCCAAAATGTTCTGGGCGGTGCTGGGGCACAGTGATCATCGTCAAAGATGTAGCTCAATTAAAGTCTCCAATCGCACATTATTATACAGTAATTTTAAAATGCCAAATAACTAAATTCATTAATGTATTTAAATTGTGTTCATGGGGTGGGAGTCTTGTTTTACCAGTTTTTTTACTTCCCTCCCACTGTGAGGTCTTTCTCTGGTCTCTCTGGTCTCTCGCTGGTCTCTCGCTGGTCTCTCTCTGATCTCCCTCTGGTCTCTCTCTGGTCTCTCTCTGGTCTCTTTCTGGACTCTCTTTGGTCACTCTCTCTCTGGTCTCTTTCTGTGTGGTCTCCATTTGGTCTCTTTCTTTGGCCTCTGGTCTCTCTCTCTGGTCTCTCTCTGGTCTCTCTCTCTGGTCTCTCTCTGGTCTCTCTCTGGTCTCTCTCTGGTCTCTCTCTGGTCTCTCTCTGGCCTCTCTCTGTTCTCCCTCTGGTCTCTCTCTGGTCTCTCTCTGGTTTCTCTCTGGTCTCTCTCTCTGATGCATATTCAATATTTTGTATGATAATTGAATTTTGCTGTTAGAAACTGTTAGAGAAATTATTTTCACACACACATGTACAGGTATTCACAGTCATATGGGGACTTCCTTCCTCGTCTCTGCAGACCCTTTCATGTTCTGTCAGGTCACTCAGAGCACAGCAGGTTTTCATCACAGTCTTATCACTCAGGTTGTCTCTGTACATTGTCACATTCATCTCTCGCTGAATCCTGTGAAGGAAAAGAGAAATACGGCAGAGGTCTGGGATGGTCTCTCAGCAGAGTGTTTTATTGTTGTCACGGAGTCTGTACCGATTAAAAACCTGCAGGTGATTTTCCACTCAGCATTGGCCACAGTAAATCTGCAATAAGTTTTCTTCGGCCTTCACAAAACCACATGAATGATAATAACATATTGGTTTTGTGCTGGGCTTTTCAAGAACTCAGAGACGCTTTACAGTTCAGGACAAAAAAAAAACTAAACATCTAAAAGCAGGAATGAAAAGTGCAATGCTGAAACTAAGAGTGGTATGCTTGGAGGAAGAAATGAGCTTTTAACTGTTTTTTGAAGGTGTCCGAGTTTCTGAGTTTGAGGGGGAGAGAGTTCCAGGGAGTGGGAGCAGAGATGGCAAATGCTATAGGTCCCCCAAGGCTCAGTGCTTGGAGTTGACAGTGGGAGTGAGGAAAATTTGAGTCTGCAAATTGAAGTCGACGGGAAGGAGTGTAGGACTGCAGAAGTTCAGTGAGGTATGGAGGAGTGAGGTTATGGAGAGCTTTGTGGGTGATAAGGGGGATTTTGAAATGGATGTGGTTTTTGGAGGATGTGATGTGTTCTCGGGTGTGGGTTTGAGTGATGAGGCGGGCGGCGGAGTCTCCCTGTCCCTGGCTTATTTCAGTTCTGGATTTTTGTGTCTTGTCGTTTCCTTGGATTTATTTATTAAACAAACCTTTACTTTTTGGGTGCCATTTTGTGTTCCTTATTTTCATTTCACCCCATGACCCCCGGTAGATTCATTCTCGTCCCTTAGTTCCTGCAGCTACAAAACAGCTCCATAACATGATGCTGCCACCCCCATGCTTGACCATAGGGTTGTATGCAGTAGCCGACATCTCCCTGCTAAAAGCCCTCTCCTGTCATGTGGTGAGATTAAAAAAGGAACCCAAAAGGCAGGACTGAAAATAAAGTATAATTTAATTCTTAAATAAATCCAGAGTAACACAATTCCAGAACTGAAAAGACAAACGCATTAGGGTGCGGGGCAAACAATCAACAGGAGACAGGAAGCGAACTCGAACTAGAACAGAATAATATAGTAAAATTAAACCAGGTCAAAATAATCCACAAAGTCCAGACCATGACATCGCCACAACATGATACTGCCCCCTCCATGCTTCACACTTGGATTATACACAGCGTCTTGTTGATCCATCCAAGACTCCCAGTTCCTGCAGCTGAAAACCTTCTCCACAACATGATGCTGCCCCCCCATGCTTCACATTAACCAGTTTAAATGCAGCAGTACTTGGGACATGCAGTACTTACAGTAGTACTTTAGATCAATATTATAGAGCACACTGTGTCTACTTTAAGCTCGCCAAAAGTACAAATTCGCCAACATTTTTTTTATTTCCTTCCCAAAAGTCACGAACATTTCCAAGCACAACTTGCTCTAAATGAGCCGTGTCCTAGTATTTGAAAAGCCAAAATCCACATGTTCGTTTCCCCACATTAAAAAGCCATGTTGACTTGATGCTGCTGATTCCGAGGGATAAACCGGACTATATTACACTGTCACTCATTCTCAGACTTTTATTAAAATGTTCCAGTGACATTTTGGTGCTTGACTTGAGGCATCAGACCTGCAGCAACCTTTTCCCATGACATTCTCTAGATGTCAGCTCTAACTATTACATAATCTCTAATAATCTCTGATGC